CGTTGGTGTCGTTTATGAACCAGCAGATGCAGGTGAGTCATTTCTCTGCTCTTTGGAGAACGAAACAGCACCAAGGCCTTGCTGGGAAACCGCTCGGATGGGAGACGACATGGTGAGGACCTGCCCTGAAAGTCATTAATGGGCAAAGGTGCCACGTAGGTGCAATGTGCCGCTTCTCCAGGTGCTACAGGCACCCGGGGCAGCCACGGAAGACGGAGACACGGTCAGAAGTGCAGGCACAGAGCTCAGCTCCTGCGGCGGAGGTGGGATGCAGCCGGCAGCACCGCGGGAAAAGCGTTTTCTGTGGCTGGAGCTGCACAAAGGCAGACCCTGGTCCTGCTCTGAAGGTAAAGACAAACCAGCCGTGCAGTGGGGAGGGGGGAACAAACAGCAAACCCAGCACCAGGCCTGCGATCCGAGACAGCAGCGTAACACGGAATTGTTGAGAGGAACTTGAACCAAGAGGACTAAGTCATAGAATTGTAGAATGGTTTGGGTTGGAAGGGACCTCAAAGATCATCCAGTTCCAACCCCCCTGCCACGGGCAGGGACACCCTCCACTACACCAGGTTGCCCAAAGCCTCAAAGTCTCATGCCATAGGGAGCGTAGGACACGATTATTATTCTCCAAAGCAAGTAACTGCTTCGGAGGTGTGAAATTCCCATCATGGAAAACACCAAGGACGTAGTTCCGTATCCGCGCTGGTTGGGTTTGAGTAGGAGACGGCAAAGCCGACTCCGGCACGGAGCCTCCAGCCCTCCCTCCCCGCACCAGACAGTACTGAGCACCGAGACGCCCGCGAGGGAGCGGGGCAGGTCACCACGCTGCTGCCAGCGGGCATCGGCGAGAGCCCTCGGAGATGAGGAACGTGCTGTGTGCAGCTGAGTTGTCACAGCAGCCCTTGTCGCTGGATGACGCTCGGATTAACGCCCCGGGTGTCCGTTACCCTTTCGCGCTCGGCGTCTCCCACGGTTTCCATGCGCGCCAGTCGTCACACACAAAGCCAAGGTGGGGTGTCCCTGTTTCAGGCCTTGGCCCTTTCCCAACGTCATCCCTCCAGTCACCACCTCCCCCCCAGGCACGGCCGGTACGGGAGCTGCGACCAGAGGGAAAACGGCGTTCCGTGTCTTTGCTGTGCGGCGGCCACCCAGGGTCCCGCCCGGAAGGACAAGGCGCTCGTCCCGCGGCACACCGGGAACTTCTCCGGACACTTCACTGCGGAGCGCCCGGCCCACCACGGCCGGGGGCAGGTTTGTGCCCACCTCCGGGACCCAAACCATTCCCGAGGCCACAGCAGCACAGCTCTCCTGGGAAAGGAGACGCACTCGGGTGCAGGGGGCACACGTGGGGTTACTGCAACACCTGAGCAGGTTTGGGAAGTTCTTAAGTGCTTCACATGGCCGATGCTGTGACACCAGCTGGGAACTCCAGCTGGGAATGTTTAGGACATTTGTCTTTCTGTAAATGTTGAAAATTTATCTAAAGTCCAAAACTCTTTTTTGCTTGAACTGATGAATTTACTTTTACTTACCCTGCTCAGAGTGGTTCTGCTTTTAAGGCAAAGACCAAGGAAGCCCACGGGGCGAGCATTTGGCACCTGACCCGTCGGAGCGTTCGGCACCAGGGCACCTTGCAGGCCCCTTTTGTAGCGGGCTCGTCCCAGGACGCTCCCCAGCCCGACACGGAGTCGCTCTCCAGCCTCCGCCACACGCACACGAGCCTCCCGCTGCCCTCTACTAAAGTTTTCAATCAAGTCACAAGGATATTTAAAACCACGCTGCCCCACACTTCCAGCACAAATCCATGTTTCTCACACCAGACACGATTTCCACGGCATCTGCCCGTCCTCAGCTACCAGCCAAGACCCGCTGCACCGCCCTGGGCAGACCCATCCCGGGCTGCAGCACTGGCCAGGAGCCACCAAAAAAGCTTCAAGTGCAGGGAACGAGCGTAGGGGCAGATGTAAAACACAATTGTCACGCGATTGCTTTGTGTAGGAAAGGGGTTTTGTCCCCCCAACAGCTGGGATTTCATAACTAAGAAAGGGAGAAGTAGAATTATGAGGTTAGAATATGCAAGTAGGTCATTGGAATCTCACCAAGTAGAACTTCACCGCACTCTTAACAATTTATCCTTGCTGGGTGGTAACTCACTCTTCATTTTTAATAGACAGATCGGCTGCAAAAGCTGCCATTAATTCATAAAATTTGGAAACTGGATCGCAGCTAAGTTTCTCCAAGTTAAATTAATGGCTACATCCAGTAGCGGGTACCTCGCTGCCCAAAAAATAAGACGGGTTCAACTCACAGCGCAGCTCTCCGGAGACACGACGCGCTCAGGCCGGATCCCTGCGGAGCCAACGCCGCACCGCGAATGTAGCACGAGGCACGCTGATGTATTTTGGTCACTTTATTAAATGAGATATTAAATAGTTTAAGTTTCAACTACTAAACAGCACTTTGAATGGTGAAAACACAGATAGTATATCGTCATACTTGAATGCTTCTTCTCTTTAAAAACACATTTCCAGTCCTTATATATATTACAAAACAGCCTTATAGGAAGAGGTGACACCTTTTCTATAGTACTTAAGATATTTAATACAGAACTGAAAAGCCATCTAATAGAAACCAAGGCAAGTCTTCACAGCTGTATGATTTCAGCAGCCAAAGCTGGTTGATGGACTGAAACATTACTATACAACTGGGACAAAACATATACAATATCACAATACTAAGCAAAAACGCTTTACATCCAAAGGAATAAACAGGTTACAAAATGTGGAGAATTTAGCAGGCAAAACTGTATTACAAGCAACATTTTTATTTGTCATCTTAAGCCATTTCTTCTAGTTAAAACATCTAAAACAAATATAAAAATGAGCCTTTTGTTATCTTATTGATGTATGTTCTGTCTTTAAATATTTGTTAAAGCTTGATGTTATACTCAAAGCACATTGTTATGCAGCTAAAATGTCGAGTGAGAAACATGTACGCAAAGTGGTCCAAGTTTTATTTCAATGCTTATCTCGGGTTTCTTCTTATGCGTTAGTCTTCTGTTATCCATACTTTTGTCCAGGATGAAAAAAAATGTGCCTTTCAATGTTGCCTAAAACTTCCACATTTAAGTCTTTGAGTTACTGTAAAACTCCACTGAACATTCCCAGGTTTGGTAGAAAGTATTTATTTCTCTTCTTCACGACACGTAGGAATATCGGCGAGAGTTGCCCAGAGTACGTTTGCCTTCAAACGTTTGTCTCCGAGTCTCACGTTTTGTTTTCTTCTACAAAGTGTGAGCACGTCTCTTTTTGCTCCCCTCCCCAAATCAAGTTGAGTTGTAGAGCTGGCAAAGCGCTAGAACACACGGAGGTTCTCCTGGGGCATCTTGTGGTAAAGAGTCCAAGACAGCAGCTTGTTAACTGGTTTCGCAACAGATCAAACCAACTCTCTCCAGGTCACGAAGCCAGTTTCAATCACGAAAGGAAATTATCGCCTAAGATTTGCATATTTAGATGCAAAACCCACTTGTCCATTCAGGGCAAGAACTCCCAACTCCTGCAAGAAACTTTCCAGAAACCAGAACAATTTCAGTTCACGTCAGCAAGTCAGCAGAGTCCAGCAATGTCTGGAGCAAAGGCCTCCGGCCGCTCGCTTCTCCGGAGTTCTCCGCAGTCAACACACCGTTGCCTCAAATGTTCCTGTCACTTACTTTTACCCCCAGGTTATAAACTCTTTTTTTTTTTGGGAGGGGGAAAGAATCAACCAAACTATATTCAAAGAAAAGCCCTATTTGTATTTAATTAGCTCTTCACAAGCACAAAAAGTGTGAGTAAAGAGAGTGCTAATGATATATAGGAAACCAGAAATTTATTTCTGGTCCACATAAAAAAACCACCCCAACCCTCCAAACAAAAGCCAAAAAAATAATAATCAAGCTCTTTGTGTACTCAGTCATGTTTTCACACAAACGAAAGGGCGCGGGGAGGAGTGCACAACCCAAACTCTTCTCTAACAGACGAAAAGTTATTTCACTGTTCTGGCAGCTCTGGAAGTTGCTACAGCACTTTCTTCGTCTCGATTTTAAATCAGCAACAGTTCTGCCATTTTGAAGTTGTTTCTATAACAGGGTTTGACCCTGGCCACCGTCACTAGTTTAACCCCCAAAATACCAGGAATTCAATTTTCTTGGCCCGTCTCCCATTGCCGGCAATGGGAAAAGATAGTAGCACCAGCATTAAGGAGTTAACAGAAATGTGCTTCGTATTGGACTCCGCATAGAGGAAATCAGCGTGTGAAGGAAAAACATCTCCAGCTCTTAAGATCACCACTTGTTATTCCCTCACGTGAAACTGAAAATAAAAAATGGCAGAAGACTAGGGAAGAGCACTCACCTTCCCCAGGTCACTAGTTAAGGCTGTACACACAGTTTCTGCAAAACTGCACGACTCAGAAGTTTCAGAGCAGTAGTAGTTCCAAATATTGCACTCAAATCTGTTTCAGAGAGTAGTTTCAGTTCCTATGTTTCGTTCAGCACAGACGACATAGTAGGAGCCCAGACCTCGGTCAAAAGGAAGCCAGCCTATTTCTGTTGTAATATTCCCACTAATATAAAGAAATGGGTAAGCAGAAAAGTATTCCATAATTTGAGGAATCAACTCTAATCAAGAACTCAGCTGTGGACAATTCACATATGGCACACCGCAACATACAGACCTGCAGTCCTTCCTAAGCTGCTCCCACGGGATGACAGCGTGGCAGCTACTAAAAGCAAGCATAGGAGTTTAGACAGGAAACCTGTGGAGATGCTACTGTTACGGGAGGACTTGTTTTCACTGAAAACAACTTGTTATCTCCTGTACTCAACACATGTAAGAAGATTCTAGGCAACATCACTGACAACAGGGAAAACATTATGTCCTATTTAAACAAAGCTGGAACTAATATGGAACATGGCATTTAAGGGGACCAACCAAACTATTTATTATTTTTTTTTATTTTTATTTTTTTTTTTTACAGTTGAGTTCTGTTAAGCCATTGATTCCTAAAAAAATAAAAAGTTCTTTCTCTGATTTTAACAATCCTTTAGGCTTTTAGTGCAAAATCACATTGATTTCCCTTGGGAAGGCCCTGGATTTTTGCCTCTCATTGGGGGTGGTGCTCGTTGTAACGGGGGCGGCTGCATACCACCAGACACTGACTGATACATTCCCCTCATATCTATCTGTTGGTAGTTGGAAGGATTCATGATTAAATTGGGAGGCTTTGGCATCATGAGATGACTCATTGCTGCTTGCTGGTAAGACATCTGCTGCTGTTGCTGCTGATTGTACTGCTGCTGGAGTCGTCTGTTCATGAGGATCCTCTGGACACAACTGATCAACTGTGAAGGGAAAGCAGAGCTGTTACAACGGCACCACCATCTCGGTGCTGCACGTATCAAGTTCAGAGTCAAAAATCAATTTGTCAGGGATAGCGTGGCTGAAGGAATAAAGCACCATTGTTATCACCGTCACTAACGCGATGGTATTCGGGAGCTGATTACTGGAGAAACCATTTAGTAACACCATTTAGGGCTAAATTCTCTTAATGACTTGCCTATTGTGTTGCGTGCAGCATTTCGGCACGTTGCTACGGCAACACGCACCGGACTGTGAAATTATTGCGAGGTATAAGTTACAAAATTATTTGCCAGGTACCATTTATCATCCCTTTGAAAGTCCTGCATGGGACTGTCACGAAATGTTTGTTTGCCTACGAGAAAACTCTTCCCATTGACATAATCTGGGCAACTTTCAGATTTTGCAAAATAATTCTAAGCTAAAAAAACATTACCAACACTTTCTAAGATGTGTGTTTCGTAAGTTGCTTTCTGAGCTCTGGGAATCAGATTTCTCTTTAAGCCTCATGACCTTCAAGCAAACTACTTCAACAGAAAAGTCTGGTGAGTATTTTTTTTTTACGTGAACTTCTCATGGAGTCTCCCCCGACGAGGCTGAGCAACACAACCCAACACACTGCAAAACTCACCACCCCCTGATGTCACGTCACACACCCCATTACACAACACCAGCAAACACCTGACCCATTGAAACACACATTCTGTAAGGATGTGTTTATGTACCTAAACATACACTTCTATTTTATGAACACACATGCAAAGTCCATACTCCACATCCCAGTTCATCAAATAAATATTAGATACTTTACCATCTGTTGTTTAGTAAGGACATCGTTATAGATGGCTTCTCGGCGCTTGACATCAAGCTCCTGGCTTGCCTGTCTGCTCAGTGCCAGGGCCTGTACTTGGCTCTCTGTGAGTGTTACGTTTTCTTTCCACTGAAAAGGAAAAAAAAAGAAACAAAAACAAAACCTTCTTGGCACTAGTCATTTTAACACAAGCATAAAGGTAACTGAGGTCTTCATTCTGTTCAGAGTTGCATCAAGAGTTAACACACAGCCCAATTTCCAGTAAATGCAAAATTAAACTTCACCAGAATCAGCACTTTGAGTTATTACTGCTCCCAACTGCTAATTAAGGTAACGCACCTCTAGATTATTTGGAGCAAGTAAGAAATGTGGCAGCCCAAGGCAGATAGAAAAGGACAATATATAGGAAATAATTATACACAAATAAGATGTGTTATTCTTATTTGTGGAAAATCAGCGCTTCCAGAGCACAGCAAATAATTATGGATCTAAACTGCTGGTTCTCTAAGGCTTTATGTCATCTAGATACCATTAAGGGTTACTGCAAGCTGCAGGGATAAAGGTCAATGTGAACTGGAAGTTATATTCATTAATAATGCAGTTAATTAGCTGAACAACCATACACAACAGTAATTTCTTTGCCTGATAAACCTTTAACGTTTTCCCATCTCCTGATCTAAACCCACAGTCACCCATTTCACTCACTATGGTTGAAATGATGTCTTCAAGCGGCTGAATTCTGGCTGCAGTTACACTGTTGGTTGCTTCCACAACTTTCTCTCTTCCTTGATTAATAAGGTCCTGAGAAAACACCAGAAAATGAATTACAAAGTACAGAGAACACATTTCTTTGCCAACCTTTTACAAGTTTTCTTCATCTTTGCTTTCTGCACTTAGACTTTAATTACCTTTTTTCTCTCAGTTTGCACAAATCAGTGGGTCCAAGCTTCCACACAACTGAATTTCAGCACAGAGTATTTGAACAGCATGTATAAATTGCCAGTTTGTACAGTGGGCAGTATTTATAAAAACCTAATTTTGTACCCAAAGGTTTGCAGATAGTCCCAGGAGTGCTACGTTTCTACCCAGGTAAATTTTCTGTGATACTGATTTTGATAACATTCCAGGTGCAACTCATTCTATGTGCTCGAAACATTATCTGTTACACTAAATTATCTCTTTTAGCACAACACTGGCATTCACTGTGGATTATTCCCCAGCTATATTCAACCCAGGTCCTCCCGATTTGCACACTTAGAGGTTTTCAATTCTTTAGCACAAGCTCCTCACGAGACACCAGCAGTTGTTGCAAGACAACCGTGCTTTGGCTCCTGCAGTTTACAGCCTGGCAGCTCATTAGGAAGAAATGAGCTTCAAACCAAGACCTGAGATAACTGAGGAACAGAGGATGTGTTCCTCTCTCCCATTCCTTCTCACACGCAAGACGGATGGAAGTAGAAAGCTAGATGTGGTAATCAATGTCTGCAAAGAATGCAGCTCATCTTCCAGAAGCCTGAGATCCTACATAGGTACAGCTTTATATGCATGGAGGTTACACTTCAATATACCTACGCACACAAAAACTTATTAAAAATAGGAGACAATTACATAAAGATATTGAAGAATGACATTAACCATTATTTGTGACAGAAAAACACATGCATGCTTAGATCAACACAGGTACGTTATACTACTTGGATTGCTACTTACCTCCAGCTGTTGATTACTCATTGCTGACAGAGCACCCAAATTGAAAGGAATATATGGTGTTTGAGAGTTGAAATTTGTGGGGAGCATATTGGTCCCAGCTGGCATGTTGAAACGCATAGTCAAGCCCTAAAAAACACAAAATGCACTTACATTTTTAACAAGTCTGGGAACTCACGGTCTTCTGTAACAACCCCTGAAACACCATAGGCAGGCAAATCAGCCCTTGGAGAAGACCACGAGCACCGTACTTTGCGCGTGGAGGCTCCCCTGTCTCAGTCAGCTGAAGATCCTTTGCAAACCTCAACTCAGAAAGATGTTTTCATCACAGAGAAACCCAAGTTTAGTCTTTAGCAATGAGAATTATTTGGTATACTAAAAGCAATTGACCAAGGCTTATTAGTATATCTTAAGTTGTTTAAGAGGCATTTTTATATTGCAAACCCACTACTTAATGTTGAGTTTGACTTGGCTGTAACCAAATTTTGAAGAAGTGAAACGCACAAGTTATTCGCAGGAATATAAAGCTCATCTCCCCATATGGATTTCTCATAGGGCAATTTCAGTGCTTACTGTTATTATATCTTCCTATTTCTTCTCCCTCACAAAACCTTCTCCCAATACTTCATTTCATTTGTCCTGTGTCCAGTCAAGATGGCAATTTATACATCCACTTTTTGTATTTTCAGATTACTGGTCAGATCTGAATACCAAACTTTGCCTTTCCAGGAATTTTCTGCTATTAGACTCATGTTACACCGAGTTATCATATTCCTTTTACAGTAAAAAAATCCCAAACCTGTAGCCAATTTACAGTTTTCTTCATTCTGCCACCTGCTTAAATATCAAATAAACAAGACACAGGGAGTAACAGAAAAAAACCCAACCACCACCACACTTTTAGGTCCTTTCTGGCAGATGCTTACATGTTTGTGGGATCGCAGCAAAACGTTCTGAAATCAATTGTATACTTCAATGGAGCTAGGCATTTCCCTCCAATGGTGAAAGAGAGGTACTACAGAGCACACCAGTTGAATTTTATTATGAAATAGAAAAAAAACATGTGTGCAAAAGGAAAAAGTAACTTTTAAATGAAAGTAACAAAGAAATTACACACAGAAGACCAGCATCGAAAGAGCAAACAAGACACATTATTTTTCATACATCAAAATTTGCTTTCCATACCCATTTCTCGGCCTATAAGAAAACTAATTTCCCCAAAACAAGCTGAAAAGGCAAGTGGTACTTCAATCTGGAAAGGTTATTTTCATACAGGTAAACCGGATTAGATAACTTTACCTTCTTTTCTGCTTCATATTCTGCCCACGCTGCCTTCCTTTCTTCTTCAGTGAGTTCCTCTTCCTCCTTATGGTCCAGGAGTGAATCATGCTCGTGATACCCAACTATATACTCTTTATTGATCTGAAGCAATTCTGCCAGAATTGTGTCCTGTTCAAAGGAAGAGACGACAGAATGACAAGTCGCTCAGTACCTGCACTGTGTTCACACTCTCTGTGCACGCCTGACGTTCTGCTTTGACCTGACAAGTCGCTCAGTACCTGCACTGTGTTCACTCCCTGTGCACGCCTGACGTTCTGCTTTGACCCCATTTCACAAATAGCAGCTCGGAGCACTTCACAGCAAAGCCAAATTAAAAAATAATTTAAAAGTACAATTTTCCTCAGAGGGAGGGCAATGGATTAACAATCTGTTACAGAGATGACAGTCCAATCACTTAATGAACCACAGGAATGCACTCAGATTCCACCACAACAAATGCAGTTTTGAGAACCTAAAAAGAATGGAATGCGCTCAATGATTTTTCCTTTGCTTAGGCTGGATACCTGAGAGGACCTACCCACAATCTGCACCGACAATACATAAAAAGCACCTCTACTGGGTTTAAAACACTGAACAGTACTTTGGTCCATCAACTGTCCATCAGCATCCAAGAGAAAAAGCTGCTTTCTTAGAACTGCTGAGATACATGTCGAGATGAACAGTCCCCCACCCTTCTGGACTAAGAAAGGTCAAGGTCAAATCACTACAACCAACTGGATCTGATCAGCAGGCTGCAATTTAGAGCTCTGTATTCCACAACACCCTTAATGCTTAATTGCTTTTAAGGGTAACTGAAATATTTACAATGTCCTTTATAACTCCCTTTAGGGAGTGGAGCATCTCCCTTCTGAAGAAAGGCTGAGGGAGCTGGGTCTCTTTAGCTTGGAGGAGACTGAGGGGGGACCTCATTGATGTTCACAAATATGTAAAGGGTGACTGTCATGAGGATGGAGCCAGGCTCTTCTCAGTGGCATCCAACGATAGGACAAGGGGACATGGATATAAGCTGGAACATGGGAGGTTCAGCTTAAACATGAGGAAGAACTTCTTCCCAGTAAGGGTACCAGAACACTGGAACAGGCTGCCCAGAGAGGTTGTGGAGTCTCCTTCTCTGGAGATGTTCCAAACCTGCCTGGATGCGTTCTGGTGGGATCTGATCTGGGTGGTCCTGCTCAGGCAGGGGGATTGGACTCGATGATCCTTCGATCCCTTCCAATCCCTGACATCCTGTGAAACTCTTGTGAAGGTTTTGTTCACCAGCACACTAACAGTTTGTATACACCTATCTGTATTTTCAATGTATCCATACACATACTTATCTATATAGATAAATAAAAGCTCCAATAGGGCTCAGCACTCAGCCTACGATTTCTAATACAAAAAATGATACATAAATGCTACTAGTGTTTTTTGAAACGCAGACTTAGCAGCACGTTAAATATTTCCTAGATAAAGTATAAAAAACTAGCTGCTAACCAAAATATTAAGTTGCTACTGCCCTTGTCTGGAGTATAGATGCCACATGATGACAGATCTCAATTAAAAAGTGATACAAAAACAGGTGAGAGAAAAATCAATGTGAAAAGCTGCTACTTCAGGGTAGGCAGTAACGGTTTTGCCGTTCTCACTGTAATTGAGTCAACATTCCAGTCTCCAGTTTTTCAGAGATGACACCTCTTTATGTTATGTAAGGGTAATGCTGGAAAGGATGAAGAACGACACTGTAAGACTACTAAAAACCACTCATGCTGCACCGCGGGAGTCTCCTGTTGGAGATAACTACTGAACATGGGTTTTTTTAAATGCATCACTGATGAGTTT